TGTCGAAATCTTGCAAAATGCGTCAAACACAACACGTAACTTTATTGTGAAATACGTTTCTTTGACTGGGTGATGTGGTAAATAATATTCCGCTGACGACAAATCTTGATCTTCGATTCACTTCTGTGACTTAGTCATTGATACTCGCTAAAAAATTCCGTAAAATTGAATCCTAACTTCGCATTCTTTTCGAGCATTCGATCCAATGCGTTGAATCGTCGCAATGCTGTACCCTTGAGATTGCCAAGCTGCCCAGTCGTATCCATCTGGAACGGAAGGTGCACTACGAAACGACCGTCCTCGTTTCTGTGATAAATTTAAACAAAATAATAATCACAAAGATTTTTTTCGGTGGTGCGATTAACTCGCTGTGGGCATTGCTCGCTTTCCCAAATTTCGTGAAAATTATGTTAAGCTGTTGATTTGTGATAAGATTGAGATAAAAATCGGTGCGAGCTCCAGTCTGTGTTCTCGTCTTGGTCAATCCGTCCAATACCCAACCGAAAAGATTTTTTGAAGGATTGGATGATCTTCAGTGACCTTAATCTGTCCAACAAATATCGACGGAAATGTCTTTACAACGTCCAACACCTGAATGATTGTTGTGGACAACCAGACGTATGACCTATCATGATCATGAAGTGTATGTGTGGCTGCCGATATAATCTAATGCAAATCTTTCGATTAGTTTTGACAAATCGCCTTAACAATTAAAATTGTTAAATAACAATTTAAAATTGTTAAATCCTGCGAGGTCGGGATTTCTGGTTCCCTTAAGCTGTTTTCCCATTCTCGATTTGTGACAACGTCGAGCTTACTTGTGATTACATACACGAGGTGATCATCCCATTCGATTCTCGCTCGGCCTAAGGCTCTCAAGGCGCGTTTGTGCTTCGACATATCATCGACAATCGCAATCATGCGTGATTTTTTTTAAACATGGAGGGGAAATCGAAAATCGCTTTTATGTATTTTTGAACGATCAATCATTTATTATCTATATATTTGTCGATGCATCTCGAAACCTCGACATAATTATCCACGGAAACCACGAGCAACTGGTATGATCTTAGCAGCTTCACCATAAAGCGAAGATCTCAAATAATGAAATTTTTGTATGCTCGGAATATGCTCTACATTGAGTATAAGCGAATGAAGTGTTTCGTGAAATAGATATGATTTTTTGTAACGACCTGAAAGCATTAGAAATTCAATCTTCGGTAATCACAAATTATTATTTACATATTCTTTTTGTGAATTTCGATTTTGATTATGATTTTGATTTTGATTTTCATCATCAGTGTGATTTTGACCCACATTACATTATTCTCCTTGTGATCTCTCTTATATCGCTATGATCTCATCGAATCGAGAATTGATATTGAAATATGATTCTTCGAAATTTGTCATTGCTTCTTGAGAAATTGCACCTTCTTTTGCCAAATTGATTTGTATTTAAGTCTGATTAAAATTGCCCCACATTGTGTCTATTTTTGTTTTACGCTGATGTAATTGCGTGAGAATTACGGTATTTACATACAATAACGAGCGAGAAATATTTCGGCTCTTGTGAGAACGCCTTTAATCGTACTGTGCTTTGCTTTTGCTCTTTTAACGTCTTCTTCCGACATGATATCAAGACAGAGCTATTATATAGGAGTAACTGAGTAAAAGAGGATAAAAATTTGGAAATTTATCAAACGCCAATAAAAATTGAACCGACTGCCGTGACCGCTGAACACGTCAGTTCGCAACGCCGATGTGTTTTTCTTCGTGTGATTAGCATGCTACTGTTGCGCGACGATTTTATAGCATAATGCTTATCGTTGGAAATCTAGCAATGTTTGGTACACGTGTGATTCTGAAAACGTAGACTGTGTTGTACTACGCACAAATGTATGTCTAACGCATTGCTTTATGATCGACAATTTTGCGAAAAAAATGGTGGATATAGCCATAATGTCTTTCGATTATGTTTCACCATATTCTCACGCACGATCGATTGTCTGTATTGCATGCGAGAATGAAAATGTTCACTGTTGTTTGTTACAATTTTTTTTTACTGATATTCATCAATAATCGACGTGAAGAACAATATTCTATATGTGGATAATATCCACGTGAAATAAATAACACAGGAAGCTCACTTTTTATTAATTAAAAATTATAATTTTAATGATAGTAGATTCACGAGAAATTAGACGCTGTGCGAGTTTAGAGAGACAAAGCGTGACTAATGACCGAAGAGACTAAAGGGACGGCCTCGCAAAAGAAAGAAAGCAAAAAGAGAGCGGATGGAGAGTTGATATTCAAAGACATCGCGTGAACATGTTTTGATAGGCAAAAAGCGTAACTGGACACGAAAGAGAGCAAGGAACAAGTAATAATCTTGAACATCCACATATGTATACATATATGTAGACACACAATATGTGAAAATTATATATTAAATATTAAAGATTAGAAGATTGAAGAGAATTATCCTCTCTCTTTCTCTCTCTCTCTCTCTCTCTCTCTCTCTCTCCTCCTCCTCCTTTTCTCTTTTCGGTGTATCATTATTCTTATTCACTAAATCTATATTATTTCTTACGCTACTCAAGAAACCTGTTCATTCTTTCTCTTCAGATCATCGTTTATCAAAGCTTCACATACTCGCTTGCGTCTTTCACCTCCATAATCAAACCCTCACCTTCAATATTAACATCTTTTGACGTTATAACATATCTGCAGAAATGCTTTGTATATACGTTTCCCAATTCAGAATGCTAGGCTGATACACTTCTAACAATATTGTAACTTTATACATTAAAGTAAGGTACTCTCTAATATTAATCTGACATATACTATTAATTATGTTAACTTATTATTTTATATTAATATTTCACGCGTTTCTTTCTTATAAGCTATTAAACCGATGTTATCTAAATTATTTACACCATACACAATTTCCAATAGCTGCAATTGTTTTTAAATAATTCTGCACTCCTACCTCCTATGGAATTCTGGCCTTTCTCCTATGGCCACCTAATCTTTCCATATCTCGTCACGCTTAACAAGTTGAGACATTAATATCTTATCCTGCATATGTAAGGATACACTAACAAATGGCTAAGTTACTTGCACTTCATTACTTTCAAGATATTGTCGTTTTGTCATTCCCAAATTGATATGCCCACTTTGATAGTTAGTCTCATTTTTGATAAAATATCACTTACGGGGTTTGTTGATAACCACAAAAGTTTATCTTTAATGTTTACACGTTGGTAGCTGCAATAATCAATTTCATTGTATGAAGCTTCCATACACGTAGACATCTGAATTTTCTCCATTTCTGATCTTCTTCTTTTGCAAGCTCAATACTTCTTTTAAGGTTATTGATTTGCCTTTTCCCAATCTTTTATGGTGATCATCACAAATACCATCATCTCCATCGCTTAACTGACAAAACGGTATCACTTCAATCTCCTTATTAATGCGAACTCCTTCATTGGTCATAGCCATGCAGTATCTTATCTTAGCAATTGTTTTACGTAACTCTTCTAAATCCAATCCCGTGTTTACTGAAATCGATACTATCGTATTGCTCAAAGTAATGAGCAATTTGTAGCTGCCCCTGTGACCAACTCTTAACCAAATATCTCCATTATTGTTCATGGTAATAGGGCATGCCATTTCCCTTCAGTAATTGACGGTTGTGCTTCTTAGTTCTGCAGGATAGAATCCCTCAAAAATGTCCATCAAAAACACTTGTACTGTCCTGGTTATTTATCGTTACTAATACCTCAGCTGGTAAATCTATCCGACACTTACCTTTAATAGACTTATCATAATAGCTGCAACTACAAATCTTCGTTGACTTTGAAGAAAAGTGAACCCCTTTCTATTTGATCTGGAACCTCTTTTTAACAAAGGCTTCTTTTCACTTATCTGTGCTCTGAGTACGACAGAAAGTACTATTGGTGTCATTTAAGTCCTACACTCTACCCTCAAACTCTGATATCAATACATTCCACACATTTGTGTATGATGTGCTTCTCTTTTTCGCTATTGTTCCCAAGCTATAAATGTTATCGAACTTTCTAGCTACCTCTAGTAGCCATTACATTTTTCTACTTTAGATCCTATTTTTAAACAATTTGATGTGCTCATCCCACATTAGATCGCACTCCATATTCAATTTTCCGTATTTGATTTTAATATTCACAGAGCACCCTAAACTTTTCAGTCTAAACTAATCAGTTCTTTTGTTAACTTTCAAACCTCTGCCGGATGATCTATTGCATTGTGATAATATTGCTCATTGCAAATAGATTGCAGTAAGTTAGACGTTCTCCTTTCATATACTGTCAACTTACAAGCATAGCCTCGCATTTACAGGTACCATTTTGGTAATGATAAACCAATGGTTCCCAATTTAACATCCCTAAAGTTTCTAGGCAGCCAATGTAGTACTTGATCCAATCCATGCCAAACACCATCAATCTTTAAACATACTTTATCGCTCTTCTTCAATTTAGAAATTAAATCTAAACCCTCTAACAAAAAGCTTCTACCGCTAGCTTGTCTTTTGAGTCAAAAGCTGTTATTCTTGATTTCATCTACCAAATACTCTCCGCTATCTACTGACAATAGTTCAAAACGTTGTACCTATTGTTATTAATGCTATGTCCACATTACTATTTGTTCTTACTCGAATAGGCTGGACGTAAAATACGTTTTCATCCTTTTTGAGGACATAGACATTAAATAGTACTCAACAAACCCATCGTATCCACTGCCTGGGTGGAATATAACTTTAACGTCTCCAAAACAGTTTGAATTCGCCCCATATAGTTGATATTTTGTAGCCGCCTCTGTACTGGATCTTCTATGTTGTCCTCCTTGGTTATTCCACTTTAGCGGAACAGTCTTCCTAATTATTTATATCTGTCTCAAACTTCTGTCGATAGCTTACTTGCAAAATGGTCAATAACTTACCCTACTCATATTATTTGGGACAGGTTTATAGCATCCCATACCAGATTCTTGGCATCACTCATCCATTCCCACCTAGAGTTCACTTGAATGAAGCATCATATTCCAATGGGCGCTTGAAATGGCAAAAACCACCAGAGTCCCCCATTATCGAAGTCATCGCTTCTTCTTCCATCAAGTCCAGTTCTTCCCTAACTTTTTTATATCGAGGACAACATCACAGTCGAATTGCAGTCATTTAGCATTCTATTAGTCAGTCTAGCATCCTGCAAAATCAACTGGGCATCTCGCAATGGTCTTTTTACCTAATCCTACAAAATCGGAGCGATGACGAAAATTTAAAGAATTCTCTTACTGACTCATTGAGCAACGCTGCTGCTGTTGATGACGTTTAACGTGATTCGAATTAATAATTGATAAGGAAAAATTTAACAGTGAGAAATGGATGTCTCGCGGTTTGGGATACAGATATGTAGGCAGTGTAGAAAGGAAATAAAATCCCGGCTGATTAATTGCATACATTGTAGAAAATTTTTCATCCGTGTTGCCACAATTTTCATAAAGTTTATAATTGAGCAAATGAATTGCTAAGTTGAACTGGTAAATATGAAATATTTATATAAATATGAAATAGAGAGTGTGATACAAGGAGTAACGTATGCAAGGGGAGTGTAACGCAGCAGCCCAATAATGCAAATAGCCGAATAGCGATCGAGCGTTTCATGCTAAGACAAAGATCGAACAAAAATAAGAAGGCCTAAAAAGGTAGTCAGCGTCTACCAATCGAATAACGATTACATCCTAATGTACCAATATTTTTTTGCTTTTCATTTATTAGAATATATTGCATTTCCGTAGAAGAGAGATTTCTTTTCATCATCGGAATTCTTATTTTTTTTAGCCAAATATCATTTCAGAAGACTGACTAGACAGAGGGAATACCGTATATATTATGTAAAAAGTATTAGTAATATAATAACATCTGTAAATATTGATAAGTCATAAGTAAATAAAAAAACAGAAGTAAATACTGAATTAATTAATATTGAATATGGAGTGCCGCAGGGATTTGTATCGGGACTCTTGTCATTCATTGTATATATAAATTATATAATAGAAATATTCTCTGATTGATATAGTATAAAAATGTTTACGGATAATACTAATAAAAATTAATGTATGTTATTGGAAAAAGTAGTATACAGGTAGAGACAGAAATGAATAAGGCATTTAATACTATGACGTCCGGTGACTCCACCTTGGTGCCATGCGGAAAATATCGAGTAAGTGCCGGTGGCTCTACCTCGGTGCCATTCGGAAGTTATTGCTCAAGCACCAATGGCTGTATTGTGGAGAATTCAATTTAAATTCAAAATTGGAGAACGAAAGAATATTGTCGTGTTCTGTAACTAACAGTAAATTACAGATGTAGCAACTTTGTGTTTTCATAAAAATCTGTGCCCTTCGACAATGGCAAACGAAAGAGAAGATACAATTATACGTGATGAGTGTGTGGACATCTTGTCTGATGTTCCATCCGAATTTCAAGATTGTGAAGAACTAGAAGACATTACGTCTTCAGAAAAGGAAAATGAGGCAATATCTTTGGTTGAATCTGAAATATGTAGACAGAGAATTCGGCGAACACCACCGTTATCAAGTGATACAGAAGAATCAGACGAAGATAACAGTAGACAGTGGTCAGATTTTGATTTACCAAGAAACAATAATGCTTTCGAAGTATCTTCTGGTTCTAACGTACTTCCCAGAGATACAAACAACATCGAGAGTGTCGTGGAGAACGACATTGTTTGAATTTATTAATACCGAAACGAACAGGTACTAAGATCAATATTCCACCAGGAGGAAACTCGATAAAAAAGTGCAAAATTTTTCAATGTTACGGCAGTCTAACTAAAACAATGGTTTGGACTGATTATTCATATGGAAATCGTTAAAAAACCAAGGATTGAAGATTATTGGGCGACAAATCCATTTTTGGAAACACCAATATTTGGTAAAACGATGTCCCGCAATAGATTTTGGCAAATATTATCGTTTTTACATTTCTCGGATAATAGTAAAATACCTGCCAATGCCGACTGATTGTTCAAAGTACAAGGTATAATTGATTATTTTACAAAAAAATTTCAAGAAATCTTCAATCTTTGTCCAAATATTGCAATAGATAAAGGACTGATGGCGTGGGCGATTGAGTTTTAAAGTTTATAACCCCTCAAAAATTATAAAGTACCGTATACTTGTCCGAATGCTGTGTGATTCCGTTACGGGATATATTTCGCGTTACATAATATACTCTGGCGTTAAAAAATCTTTAAAGGATACAGTGATAAAACTATTGAAAAATGTTACTGAAAAATGGCATCACTTGTATATGGACAACTACTATAACAGTGTGGAACTTGCGGATGATTTGTTTACGAAAAAAATTCACGTTTGTGGAACGCTGCGTAAGAATAGAGGATTACCGGCAAAGTTGAGAAACTGCAAACTAATTGTATTTGAAACCAAACATCAACGATGAGGAGCAGTACTGGTGCAAGTATGGAAAGCAACGAAGACGAAAATAATAAGAACAATTTCTACCATACACAATGGTGGTTTAGTTAACACTGCAAAAAAATGCAGAAAAAGCAATAGTACGATTAAAAACTCGGCATCTATTTTGGATTATAATAAATATATGAACGGTGTAGATCGAGCTGATCAATTTTTGAGCTATTATCCTATATGCCGGAAAACTTTAAAATGGTCAAAAAAAGTGGCATTATACCTTTTAAATTGCGTTGTACATAACGCGTTCGTACTGCAACGACATTATACAGATTCCAAGAAACTCGACTTTCATGATTTTTTATTGAAAATATGCGAATCTTGGATAAAAGATCATTCACTTGTTGGTGAAGAGAACTTGGAGGTCCCGAGTACATGGCGTGCTTCCAGTCGTGAATCAATCAACAGACTTTCCGACCTCGTAAAGGAGCACCAGCTGATACGTATTTCAGAAACCAACAACCGAAAACGCAGAAGGTGTCATGTGTGTTATAAAAACAAAAATATTAAGAGAAATAATTTAATCTTTAAATCTTGTGGAGTTGCGCTTCACCTCGAAGATTGCTTTGCTGCGTTTCATTTAAAAAATAAATACTGTTTTTAACAAAATATAAGTAAATAGATAATCATGTAATACAAAAAAATCTTGTACTTATTTACATATGTATACGCTCACAATTTCGAGAAAATCGAGAGACAGGATTGAGACATGGGAACTGACGATAAGATTAGTATACAAGATCCTCGGAAAACCGCCGGCGATAAGAAAAATTATGTAAATCAGTTCCATCTGCGCCACACGAAAAAATTTATTTTAGACGTGCGGACGGCATAGTGTTAAAACAGTAGAAGAATGGATGAATATATATAAATTAAGAATGAATGCAGAAAAGACGGAATATATGATAGGAGTGTAAGAAAAGAGCTGGATGGAAATATTGTATTGAAATGCTTTGATGGAATCGAGATACAACGTGTAGAGATAATGAAATACTTAGGAATAGATGGTAAGCTTGGGTTTAAAGGTCATTGCGATTGTATGTTAAAAAAGATAGGTAAGGAAACTAATTTTTTGAATGGAATAGGAAATTATACATCGGCATATACTAGATGTGCCACGTATAAAGCGATTATAGCATAGATCATAGTACGTGCAACGTTGTTAATGGATATGAGAGAGATAAAGCTGAATAAATTGCATTGCAAAATCGGGAAATGAGAGTATATTACAACATGTGTCTTTGTATTTTCAAGATCGTGAGGAATTTGTTAACTGAACAATTATAAAAAGGTTAGAAATAGTAGGAAAAGAAAGCGGTAAACACACACGACAGACCAGGAACATTGTAATACAATTTCGCAGAAATAGGAGTGCGCAAACGAGTATGTTTTGTGAAGAAGTTAAAATATATAATGTTTTACCAGCCGATATAAGACAACGCGAGAGGCTCGACCAATTTAAAAAGATGTTAAAGGAATACATTTTCTATAATTTTTAATGAAGTCTGAATTATGTATTACAAATAGTTGAGAGAGCTTATAAAGTTCCATCAATAATTTAATCAATCGAAGCTTTCATCATTTTCAACTATCGCTCTCACAGCTTCTTCTTCTAATAAGTCTATGTCTAAATTTTCCCTCGATTCCTTAATAGTACACTAGAGTTCTAATCATTTAAAACTCTTGTAACTAAACTAGGCTTGTTTCTATGTATCGATCTTCTCACTAGGCTGTACAATTGATTATGTAGTCTCCACCATAACCATCATTATCATACAAATATTGTGTTCCATGACAACTTGTTTATCATGCTATAGCTTACCCACAATGGATAACAACCAGTTTTTTGAAAACATCCATGAATTACTATTTTCCTGTTCGACGTCCACTTTCTTCTTTCCACTTATATGTTTTCTACACGGAGTTAACTTCGTTCCAGTTCTACAGAACGTTGTTAATCTTAACCGGCAATTCCTGATACTCGTTGGTTGACAATTACAGATACTTGTTGATTTCCAAACTTTCATTGTTACATTGTACATTCCATTTATCAAGATGTTTGTTAAATTTACTAAATCCCATGACTGATCCAAGTATCATTCCTCATGTTGATTAGAATACTGCATTTACAGTATCCCGCTATCGTGCTCAAAAATAGGAAATCATTAACAGTATAGAATTACATCTACTTATTAGTTTCCATGATTATTGTACTTGTAATTGTGACCAATACTTGTAATAATAAATATTTTAATTAGAAAAAAAGGTATAGAATATATGTATATATAAAAATAAATGGAAAATATACGAATAAAATAGTATTCTATTAGATTTTTCTTGTAGGCGGCTTTGAAATCTATTATTCACAATTACATTTAATTATTCACATTTTCATATCATTACGATTATTTTGCGTTTACATACTACATAGATTTCTATTAATTTAATTGTCAAAAATTTTCAATGTTTCGAATGCTTATTAACATGCATAGTTTATTAGAAAATCGATTTCTTTTACTTATAAACATGATTGTAGTATAGCGAGGTCTAGATACGATACTCATTGAACTGTAATCTAACATAATTTGCAAACATGTCTATCGATAATTTGTTTACATGATCGGTGAAAATCATTAAGCCAATTCTCTTGAGTTTTTTTATAGAATTTTTAATCTAAGTTAATTTTTTATCTGTCTATTATAATGATTATTCAGTGTTGATGGATTAAGCTTGTTGTGTTCTAGCTGTGAAATATTAATAACCCATATTTTTAAAGTAAATAGTATAATTAAAAAAAAGTTATATATAACATTTAGGTAAAACGAAAAATTACATATACTTATTTCTTTTTAAATTATTTAAAGATATCAACGATTAATATATTATTAATTAGTTATTTATGTATTTACTTGTAATTATATACAATGAAAATAAAGAAGACGAAGAATGGACTAAAATATTCAAATCTATCTGTTACAAAATGAAAAAAATATGAGAGAAAAATTTTGAACGATGAATATTTTAAACAAGATTTTGGAGACGTTGGTTGATAGTAACGATTGGCGGAATGAAAAAACAGATGTTTATATATTATCTTATATATGTTGATCCTATTCTGTATATATATACATATATATATATATATATATATATATATATATATATATATATATATATATATGATTCTAAATTACATGTTTTTAATAATCAGGAAACAATAAAAATTGGATGATATGGAAAGCAGCGATAGCGATAGCTCATATAAGAATACAAGAAATCATTAGTAAGCCTAAAGGAAACATATCTGTTGATTGTTGACGAGACCGTTTTTGAAAATGCTTTTCACGCACCAGACCAGTGATGACAGTCGATTCGCACTGAGGAAATGTTTCCCGTCTCGTTTTTGTTGTCCGAGCTACAGATCGCGATTAATAAGGGTGATGGCACTAGGCTAGGATATCGTTGTAGGCCGTCAGCAAAATACTGTTCGCCGCGTTTCTGCCAATTAATGGGAGAACGCGCGTTCTTTAAAGGGTCTCGTGAGAAATGGAGAAGTAATTGCGATATGTAAATCTCACCGTGTATTTGATTCGATGAGTTATTACAATTGTTTGTGTGCCTCGTGCTAGAGAATGGAATCTTCATCATTGTGCCCTTCGAACGATTTATCGCGGCGTGTTTACCCCTACAGTTACGTAAGCGGCAGCAGAATGGTTCGATTTCTGCACGGAGGGAAACTCCAAGAAGTTAAGTACGACCCAACTTATCTCAGTCACATCTGCGTATCGTACAATTGCAACGGAATCTCTCTGTGTCTTAGCAGGGGAGCCCCTGATTGATTTCCAGTTATACAAACAGAGGAGATTATATGACCTTAGGAAGAACAGGAACACCGAGATAGCGATTCGAAAATTGGAAGGCATGAAGCTTAAGCGCGTGTTAGTAGAACAGATCGACGAGAACATTCTTGCAAATTAACAATCGAGATGGGAGAATTCCTCCAATGGAAGGACGACATTTGCTGTTTCCCGGACATCAAGAAAAGGATGGGTGCCCTTTTCGTCTCTCCAAACCACTTTTGAACACAATTTCTTTCAGGTCATGGAGCTTTCAAGGTAAAACTAACTTCGCTGAACCTCGTCACGGATGGAACATGCGAGTGTGGCGAAGACATGGTTTCGGATTACATCATCAAATGTCCGGTTTTCGAACCTCAGAGAGTTGCTCTGGAAGATGTTCTCCGCGAAAGGAGCTGGCCAGAAGCAGCGAGACATCTTGTCTTCACGGCTGAGGCCTCTTCGCGGTTTTGTAAAGAAACCCTCTGTATTAAGGGTAATTAGTTCATGAATCCTGTTCAGCTGGGATTGTCGAGTTCTGGTTATGAGAGTGGCTGCCTGTAATCTTTTCAGATTATCTCACTCTCGAACAAGATAGGGTCTGAGAAGCTCGCATGCACCTTCATATTTTTTTTTCTTCTCACTACAACCCAATATTCTCTCTAAAACTTGCTATCCTACCAATCCCAACCTATCCTACGGTACGAGTGTCAAGGATCGTGGTATTGTGAGCGGGCCTTTCTGTGGTTCCGCGTAGGCACGGCCGGCATCAGCGTAGTAATTCATTGCTGTAAGGATGTTGGTCGCTGCGTGGATGTGAGTCAAACGCTCACCCTATCTCACCGACAGGAGTTTTGGGTTTTTCCGAGTCCGGTACTTGGCTGTGGTGGTTGCTGTCTGTTGGTGGTTTCGTAGCGTATGCTCTAATGGGCGAGGTAGCATAAGTGCAGGCATCCTACAGGTGCCCACCTTCACTCTATACTGTTTGTGTGCCTCGTGTATGATGTGTAGTTAGCTTAACTGATTGCTTGAGAGCTTAGACATTGTGAGTCTGTACGATGAAACTTGCCTGTCTTTTGGTCTATTTTAAACTATCCACGTAAACTGAAATGAGATTGGTAAAGGGCAGAGTTTGACCTATAAAAAGAGAAAATATAAATGTCCATTGATCGGGAATAGCTCGTTGGAATGTTTATCAAGAAACATTTCATGTGTGCCCCTTTGTTCTAGTGCTCTTGAAGATTATGGGGTGTCTATGGATATTGTCAAGGCTAGGCGAAGATAGCTCTTAGCTTATTAGGCCTAGGCTTCTACTTTTACTGTTTATTTATTGTTCAGGTCGACATATTATAGAAACTCAGATTACTATGAATGCCTAAGCCCAGACAAGAGTGGCCATGTGTTTTTTATCTATGCGTTTTGTTCAGCTAATAGTTCATAAGTTCCCACGGATTACTGCTTCCAAAGATGTTATATGATCCTAAAGAGAAATTACCGTGAACAATGGAGGGTCGTACGTGTGCGTCAACTTATCGGCCACCTTCAATGGTCGTGTTCGAAAACAAGGACGAGTAAAAAAATATAACATGTTGTTGGAAATACTCTAATTGCATTTCACATGCAATGTATGTGAAAATGTGTGCGTGTA